TGACTTTTGCTCAAGGAGTTCTCTCTCTCTCTCTCTCTTTGAATTTCGCTCTTCTTCATGTGAAGAGTCACCGTTTGAGATCGCTTTTGCTCGGAATCCACTGAGATCGGTCGACCGCGTTCTTCGTTGCTTGAACCAAGGGCGAGCGCGGCGGTTTAAAGCGAGGACACCGAAACGGCGTGGCTCGAAATCGGGCCGGTCCAAACAGATCTTCTGCTAAGGGTTTAACGGCTTAATCGTGTTTAACCTTTATAGGGGTTTTGCTTTAAGTGTTTAACCCCTTATGAACCAAAGATCTTTTCGGGCCTAAGAATAGGAATACCAAAGGAATGCTATAGAAAGGGCTGCAGATCGGGGTCCATCCAAGCACCCGTTGTGTTCAGTGAGTACTTTCAGGAACCATTGGAAGAGAGCCAGGGACCACATTGTGCCAATGAAATGAGCTGTTTGCGTCTACCGAAGAAGTGAGTGGCTGCTCAAAACAGTCCACCCTTATCCAAATGCACTCTCTGTTTGACGTCTCGGAAGCTCGGCAAACGCTATTTTGTTCCTGCACAGGAAGCTGACGCCAGTTCCCACCAAAGGATTTAGGATGGAAGCCATGATGGAAGCATCCTAGTTCTCTGATTGATGCGGTGTTTGATAAATCCCCGGTGTGGGCTGGGGTACCACCTTCTAAGAAGGTGTTTGGGGTGGGTTTGGAGGGTCCAAATACCTTCTGAGGTACTTGGGGCCCTAGGGATATATACATTTATATGTATCATTATATATATATATATTAATACTGATATTAATCATTATTACAGTATGCTTCAAGACCTTGTACCGTGTAATGATCCTCTGGGTCGTGTGCAAGCAGCTCTGAAGTCAAAGCGCACAGAAGCACGCTAGCGCGACCTTGTGAGAGATTTGCCAGGCCATCTATGCTAGACTATACCTAGATCCTCCAACTATGCAAAACGCCTGCCTTTTGGCTGGCTATATGGATGGAAAAGGCATAAATGTTGCACAGTTGGAAGATCTAGGGTATAGTCACTAGCATTCCAAGTCCCATGTTGGCATGGTTCTAGAACCAGCCCCACACATCTGAACCACTGATTCACCATGTGAAGTTCGATCTGTGCTTTTTGGATATGTGAAAGAAGCATCAAACATATCCGGATCCCAGTTACCACTATCATGAGGAACCAGCAGGGTTTCGTTCGGTCTATGGCTAGACGTCTTTGGAACCACTGGTTTCCGGCGACATCGTGGTTTGCCTGAATGCCCTGGGACATGTTTGGAACCTCCCAATCGCCTGCTGCAGCACGCGCTCCGAAAGGCATGTGGAACCCACCAGCATCGGACCAGCCATTTAGCGTGCCTTTCCCTCCATGAATGGGTCAAAAAGAAGGAAAATTTGGAACCATCGCCATCGCCCTCCAAAACGATGCGTTTCCTGTAGTGTAGACCTTCAAATAGCTAGAAGTTCGTAGATCCTCACTCAAAATGTATTGGAAACCGTTTCAATTTCTATCTATATATATTTTGGGACCAGTATAGGTGTTCCCTCCAGACCATCCCAGACCTCCACCCTTTTGACGGCGTTCGTCGTTCGTCGCCGAACGTTCCTGGTCGACCACGCTTCGGTGGTGACCCGCTGGTGACCCGCTGCCATCGCCCCAGCCACCGGTCGAGGTCTGAATGCAGTTTGGCGCCCTAAGAATCATGGACCCTCACCCTAGCCTTCCAAGACCTTTCAAAAGATGATTGAACCGGTGTTTGTCGTGTAAAATCCTGAGCTGGTTCGGTGTAACGCCAATTAATTTAAGAGTGATTGGAAGTCTAGGGCTCAGCTGGTGAAGGTTTTGATGATCCAACCCCCTGCCCCCTGCGTGGCCAGGCTACGAGTCAAGGGCCCACTCAGATGGGGCCCAGGGGCCCAAGGATGAAGAGGATGTGGAAGGAGATGGCCCCACAGTCACTCCAGGTACGATAGCATTGACCGATCAGTTCGTGTGGTTTCACGTGTTATTCCATGGAATGTCATGGAATGATATGGAATGTATAGGCACGGGGGCACCAAAATAGACCGTCACCCAATAGATCTCTTCGAATTGACTTCTTTGGGTACTTGGAGAAGATGTGATGGTATTAGATTCGTGTGAAATACGAAATGTTCCTCACAACTCTCCGTCCAATGTCAATGTCCATCTCAAATTCCTGATTAAAACAAGATAGATGCGAGCCAGGAGCCGCGGGCGCACGAGCAACTCGGAAAATAAAACAGGCGCAGCACCAGCGGCGATAAGAAGGATTAGCTCCCCCAAACCAACCTGAACGACCTAATGTAGACTCTTGATTCATAACTCCCCCGTATGAAGAGGATTTCCAATTCAAATCGGAGGGTATTATATAATCAAGAGTCTACATTACCTCATTACCTCTTGGGAAAATCATCATCACGACCTGTGCATGTCAACCTGCATCGCGTTCGGTTGGTTTGGGCAAGTGTCGGTCATCGCATCTCCAGCTCACATGGGGAAAGCCGCGCGGCACGCGGCTCAGCTGCCCCCGGAGCGGTGGGCAGATCGTCCACTCGCCGAAAATGGCATCATTTATATATAGAGAGAGAGAGAGGGAGAGATTCATCTATCCCAGACACTCCATGTATGCCATATATGCCGATCAGTTGTAGGCATATGACGGACATGGAATGTCTGGGTATAGTGACTCTACGTAGTGCGAGAATGTGATGTTTATGTGCTGGTATATAAATGTTGGTATGGTTTGGTCCGATTCATCCCCGGGTCTTGTGCCCACCTCCACCTCACCCGGCTTGGACGTTCATGAGAGGCCTGTGCAGCTCAAGGATCTCAAGGAGAGGGCAGCTCTAGTAGGTTCATCTTGGCCAAGGAAGGGTTTGCTGTGCGGCTGCAGAGAAATTGACATTTTCCAGCTGATTTGGGCTGCTTATTGCCCGGAAACTGAAGAACCAAGAGCAGTCCTTCCAGCACCACGGAAGGGTGTCCATTAATAGTCTCTTAGGGGTCAAGGGTTGTCCATTGACCACCCCTTGACGGTCCAGGTATATTTAGATACAGTATTTATTATATATATTGTACATCCTTTTTAGACCCTGCGGGGTCTCCTTAACTAACAGGGCCTAACAAAGCCTTAGAACAATGTTTCCTACTCAACAGTGCACGCTGACATGACTACGCCTGTATGTCTAACTGAAAAACATGCAGGTCTCCAAACATGCTCAGAGTTCCCACGCTGCCAAATCAGCAGCCCATTGAAACATGTTGTAAATCAAAAAACGGAGCCCATCTTCAGTTTTGGCCCAGGGTCCACGCCTTGGGCCCAATCAAAAAAACACTCCCGTCTCCGTCTGTTCACGGTGCCTTTCGCCCATTCAGCTCCCTCCCTCGCCTCGTCACTTCTTCGCCACGGTGAGGGGCGGCGCCACGGCGGGCACCGCCTGAGCCGTGAAGCGCCAGCGGCCGCCGCTCCAGCGCGCGACGATCAGCTTGCCGGGCCTTGGACGAGCGCGGGAGGACGAGGCAGGGATCAGGGGAACACAGCGGAGCAGTGGGTGCAAAGCGACTACCCAGGATGTGCTTTGGTATAATGAGAATGACGGTTTTTTCATGAATCAAGTGGCTGTTTCATGGGCCCTTTGCATGAACTTGAGTGATGGTTTTGTGATGATTTGTTGTGGATGTGTTCTTACCTGACATCTAGGAAGGACATATAACATATTTATCAACCTTACTGCCCTAGGGCTCCTGTCCCATATCCTCAGGTTCGGTGGTCGACCGGCACCCGGTCCTCTCCCCCGAAACGACTTCGGTGAAGACGTCGGTGCTTGCTGCACCCATCCGGTTGAGGCGGCCTGCGCTTGATGTTCTCACACGTCCAATAGTACAGTTAATATGCCCAAATCCTTCATCTATACCTACATTCAGCCCAGGTCAAGCACCCCAATGTAGCTAAATAGTGCTAAATATGCTAGCCTCATGGAGTGTTTGTGCTACTTTCCTCACTGCGACAAGTGCCCATCCGCAAACATTAGTAACCAGTTCAACCAGTTTCCACTGGACCAGGAAGCGCATCACACTGTCAGCAGCTGACACTTGTCCAGAAAGGTAGAAGCACTATATACGGAGCAAGGTAATTGACAAAGTATACGAAAGGGAACCAGGTGCACCCTGTATGGATGCTTTTTCCACGGAAATAGCATGCACAACCGGAAACACTTGCGAATGTCATTCTTCACCATGCTCGAAATCGCTTCATGGCTTCTCCTTGATGCCAGAGTGAGGAACACCTGGAAGGCATAAAGATTTGGCGAAAAGCCAAATCTGCTTGCACGAAGTGTAACACGTTTTATGCCTACAAATGTCCACAACAAAAGAACGTCTACATGAAGTTGTCAGGTGTTTAAGTGATAGCTTCATGTTGATTTACTGTGTTTTATGTTGTTTAAATGCATTACAGTGTGTCCATGCAAAAAGGATTATAAATTCAGAGTCGTTTGGTCATCCTGATCTGCCAACTCGGCTGGTTTCATCTGGCGATCCGTTGATGCAAAGAATGCGTGTTAAACTTTAACATTTTTTGAACAAAAAATACAGCGCAGGCCTTGGCTCTACGAAACTCGTCTCCAAATTGAACATGTGTGGCCACCGACCAGGGCCAGCACATGCAAATAGATCAAATGTATTCAACAAATGATCAAATTGTGATAAATTGTGTGCATGCGCATCTGCCGGGCCGGATCATCTTGCACGCACCACTTCCTGCGTGCAAGATCTGCACTTCTTGCCACCACCATTGTGATGTAGAAGATGAGCTGCGATGTCGATGTGGTGCTTAGCTTAGGCTTATCTGTTCTTGTTCCATCTTTTTCCCATCCTCAAGTGGCTCTATAGGACTCTAGACGACCCCCTGGGGTGAGGAACTCCTCCTTCACGCGGCTGAAACAAGCTGAAGCAGCTGAGCGCTGGCCGCTTGGCTCAACGACCTGTGATTCCGGTCTGTCTGTCCATCGAAGCAAGGAGTCGAAAAATCAAGTCATATCCTTGGCGCTTGGGATGGCCATTGTTGTCCTGGAGGGCCATGCGATGGCCAATCATGGCCATAACTACCCTATCCTATCCCTACCCCTACCCGCCCTATACTCTTCACCCGAACCCTTTTTGGGCGGAATCTCAACCACTCCCTCGACCGCCCCCGTTGTTCTGCGCTGGACGCTCCAGCAGCCCCCCATGGCGACGGCTCGGCAGCGTTCCATGCAACGGGAAAAAACACACAGCACCCTCGTTCGAAAACCAGGAATTGCATTGGAACATGCCATCCAAAAGAAAAGGTCCTTCATGTGCCGGCGGGTGAAGGTGTCCCGATCGCAGTACTTCAAGACATCCAGAGTGTGACGGCGAAAGCGCGAGACCACTTGCAGATACTGCCCCTCCCAGGGAACGCTGGACGTCCTGTTGGGGATCAAGGTTCTTCGAGCAATGCACCAGAAGATGAACTTCAAGTGGGGAAAACTGCCAGCCAAGCGATGAAGACACGCCAGACCATGCCTCACCATGACTTGGTTATCCTTGTCATTCACCTTTTCCCTGACCACATTGTATGCCTCCAATGGCAAATCCACAAACAACTCATCCTCGACTAAACTCTCCACATAACCTCAGGGATGGCACATCGAACACAGTCGAAGTCCAACCAGTGACAAGTGAATAGTGGTCGTGTTTCTCTGCCCCTTTGATGCTGTAGCCATCCCTCCAAGAGAAGCATGCACCCGATAAGGATAGCGTCGTTTCATTCAGCCCTGCTTAACTTCATGAAATACATAACATCATTATATTACAGAACCCTAAGAAAAACAAACACGGCCATTCAGGCGCAAGCCTTCTTTTGCAAAATGTACATGATATTTAATTTAGCTGATGTAGAATCCAAACCCTTCCAAGCCAAGTCGCGGTTTCCGAAATACCAATTGGGCACCAACAAGACCGTCCGTGGATACACGCGCTGCGCTTCGGCCAGCAGCTCCCAGGTCGACCGGTGAAAAATGGGCAGCGCGTCCAGTGCCATGCTGTCAATACTTGGCCGTGCGACGCCTCCACCCTCGTCGCTCAAGCGACCCAAGCGGCGCACGTGAGGTCTGACCCGCTCACTCTCCACGCGCGCCTCTTCCAAATGCCTCGAGCGGAGTCGGCGCCGAACAAGTCGTTGGAAAAAATGAACCACGGCCATCTCCACGCCCCAAACCGCCCAAACCTGTTGCTTACGCCGGGACCTACCAAAACCATCCCAAAACCCCCGGTCCGCGCCTGGGCAAGAAGTGCGAGGGTCCCAGCAGAAAGACTTGGGACCGGCCACCCGCCGAAGGGTCCGGCAGTTGCAAGTCCTGCGGCCTCCAAGGTGCTGCCAGCGCCGCGCCACGAAGCGCCACGGCACTGAAGGCCAGGCTGGGGAGCGAGCGCATCGGTCGCCGTTGGGTCCAGCGCGCCGGTGGCGACTGGGCTGAAGGTTGGAAGGCTGCTGACAGCTTTGGAGCCATCGGCCGCAAGCTATGTCATCACTTCAGGGAAAACCTGCAAAAGGTAGCTATTCTGCTGGGGACTTGCCAAAGTGCCTCAGGGATGAACTTGGGAAACATCAAGAACAAGCTCCAGCAAGCTAATTAGCTGCACGAGACTCCGGTCTACAAGACCGAGCTCCCACGAGAACCACCAGCACCAATGCACCACCAAGTTTCTTCTCACCTGCTTCCACACCCACTCCCAGCATGTCCAACACCAACTCCAACACCACACCATCCCAGCCCAACCAAATCCGCCCCGTCCCCAGCTCCCATCCGAGGCCCGCAGCTGCGACAAGGGTGCGACTCTCAGGGCTCCGGGCCCAGCGATGGAGTTGGGTTGCCATTCTCCGGTGTAGGCATGGTCCACCCACTGGCGCAAGCACAGACTTCTTACTACCTGTACTACCGCCTTCTTACTGCTTTCAGCCAGTAAGCACGGGATAGAGACCGTGCTTGAATCAGGGTATGGAGAACCCACCCTGAAGGGACTGTAGAGACCGTGGCTACTGAAGCAAGCAGTCGCTTAAACATGGACACCCTGGCTGATTTAAGCGAAAAGGTGCGAAAAATGCCGGGACACTCTCAAGGTCTTTATGGAGTGCTAAGCAGGTCGTCATCGGGTCGCTCTCACTTGCCCACCGAACGCGTCATAGGGTCGCTCTCCCTTTGCATCTGCCGTTCAACACCAAAAGGAACCGGGAAGGTGACAGTGCCTGTGGGAGCCTGTGGCCTCGATCTTGGTGTGAAGCAAGCTAAACAGTTATAGATTAGATGACAACCGGCCTCCTTTGATCCACAACCAGTACTTCGACCCCACACTTTTGCCACCTGCCCGTAACATATACCTCTACAATCTTCTATAGCAAGCCGAAGTTTTCCCTCCATCCCTGCCCCATCCCTGGTGCCAAGCTGTTGAGCTGCGCATTGTTCAGAATCAAATCCTCGGGCTGAAACTTTGCAACGGGCCCCGCCCAGCGCAGGTGCAAAGTGCTGAATTTCTTCCGGCCGGAGACACCCCAATAAAGAGAGGAGAGTAGAGACATGGCCAAGGGACGCTTGAAGGAAGTAGAAGGATGCACCAGTGTCGTGCACTGACAGCATGGATTGAACATGAATGAATTTGATGACTGACTTTCTCCAGCCGAGAACAACATGTCTGCGGGAGAGTGCATCCAAAAGGTCGCACACCGGACCTGGCATATGCAATTCCAGGATCTTAAAGTCTTATGGGTGTGGGTCCGGGCTACCCTGGTTGACTACCGAAAATAAACAGAACAGACTACCAGGGAGGTCAAATTACCATAAATTACCCTGGTGAGTTTGGGGCTCCAGGTTTTCACCCACAGCCGGGCGGACAGGGTTCATGTTGTCCATGGACATCCTTCCCAACTGAAGCCGCCTGGTAGAAGGAAACTTGAACGCAATCCATGCTCAAGTCTCCACCGTTTGGTTCAGATTGTCAAGAAAAAACATGTGGTCATGTGGTCCCTCCATGTCCCTCCTAGTTTCTTCCATGAAAGTCTTGAGCATAGCTACGACTGGCCCCGCCCGCCACTGGCCCCACATCGGCTCCGTTCCCACTCCGGGTCGCCGTGGGATACTCCTTGGGCGGCGCGGGCTGCGGCGCGAAGATCTTCCCAGGCAAAGGTTCCTCAAGAGAATGCAGGGTGCACGCAGGGGGGTTCTTTGGGTTGATGCTGGAAATCCCGACAAATAACCTGGGCTCCGGGCGGAAATGGTTGCAATTAGGAGGGTTCCAGATGCTCAGATAGAATCACAAGTAGACTATAGACTCTTGAGCAGAGCAGTGGACAAAGACCATATATGAGGAGGTTTTACAATCCAAAATGGGGTCCTTGATGCCACCACTGGGTCTTCCATGTTGCTGTTCAACCGATGCTGTTCGTAGAAATTCGTGTAGTACATACTATCTCTGTTTCACCTGATAGCATCTTTGGAGTACTCCCACCCAACCCCGCCGGAAAATCCATCAAGGGGAGGTGTGGGCGCGAGCGACCAAACAGTCCGCAAGTTCGTGCATCCAAATGGGGCTTATTTATCAAGAGTCTACATTCTAGAACCTGTGTAATAAGATTCAATGAGTCGCAGCCGAGAAAGCTTTAATGACGCGGGGCGAGGTTTCTTTCCCAACACCCGGTTTGAGAGAGAGGCTTAATTAACCCCCTCCATTTGATAGGTGAAATGGTCATGGGTATGCAAAATTTCTCTGCACTTTTCTCTGCTGAACGCACTGGCCACTACCTGCGCATCCAAGAGCAGTTGGTCTGGAACCAGCATGGAATCAGGTACACATGCACCTGTGCCAGTTCCTCGCCCTTACAGTCATCGAGTTAGGTTTTGTTTATTGGGGGTAGGCCTCATGCATCAAAGAGACCCACAAACAAAGGCCAAGTTTGCAACATGCATGTGGGATCATATGAACGGCAGCTTGAGCCAGCGGCTGGCCTGTAGACTGTAGACTGCCTGCCGACACTTAGAACCACAACAAATGCGCCTCATCTTGGAAAAGGCCTAGCACGCATTGAGCCAAAATCCCACACTCCCTGGAACAATCATGGAAACGGAGTTCACCACCTGTTTGGTATCCTTTCGTGGCCATGACATCCACGTTGGCCCCTAATTCCAAACAGATAGCACGCGTCCCGAGCGAATTCGCGCCCGAGCTCAACTCCTCGTGGCGCAGGAATCATTGTGGAAGCGGTTTGGTCTTCGGACGCATGGTCATCCGAACGAACGGGGGCCATGCCTAGCCCCACTCACATGGGGCCCTGATTCCAAGGAGTCTGTCTCAACAGGTCTCAACCACTTCTATCCACTTCTCCCAAGGCTCCCGACGTATTCCGCACCTCCCCTGTAGGCCTCCCGACGCAGTCTGCTGGAGTGGTGGAGTGAACCCGGCCCGTGCACTGGGACTGAAAAGAGTTGTAGACATGAAAACCACCATGGAACACCATGGATAGCATGGCCACATGACCCAATCATCATCAAGAATCTAGTTGGTGGCTTCAACTCACTTGAAAAATATCCGTCATATCAGTCATTGGGTTCAATCATCCCAAGTAACGGTGCAAATACCCAGCCATGTATGTTATAACATGACATTGGACAGTCCGTTCGACCAATTCATGCGCATGCTAGCATGGGCGGGAAGTGTTGGGGGGATTGCTGCTGGGTTTGGAGATCCGGTCATGATGGTACCGCCACGGCACGAACAGCATACAGAAAGAAGTGCCCTGAGCCCCTAAGCCATCCAAAAACGTAACAGCCCATACACTGGGAAACGACCCAAGATCAAGCCCTCTCCTTACCAACACGATCATCGATATTACATCTCAAACAACCTTGGCATCTCCGACATCTCCTTACTTCGCAGCCTTTTTGGCTTAGCCCATTGATCCGTTCAAGAAGACCCTCTCCATTGCATCCACTCGCCACCTTCCCCCTCTCCTCCCACTCCCAGCCTCGCTCTGGTTGCAGCGCTCCCAACCCCCACCTTCACGGGCTTTCCGGGGGATGACGGTGTTTCCGGGCGGCGGGGGGCGCATGTACCTACTTTGGCGCGGCGCCCACTCTACTTGTAGCATGGGGGAGTCCATTCGTTGGGCCTCTTGTTGTTGCTCGTGGTGATGGCCACATCTATAGTCTTGTTAAACTGGGTTGTCATCACTGTTGTACCTTTGGCGGGCAAGATGGAATCCCGTCCGCCAAAGATGGAACACATATGAACACATCCATCTTTGGCGGACGGGATTTCCTCACAGCTTCAGGGGGCTGACCAGCAAGTAGGAATCTCTGCGCCATCCTCTGAGAGTCCCAGCTCCAGCAACAACTCCTCTGGGTGAATCATTCCAAAAACACCCCGGAACTGGCACATCTATACACAAATTGATATTGAGGCGAGGTGCTTGAAACGAAGGAATCGCATCCAATCCATACCCAGACACTCCATCTATGGACTATTTCCCTACATTGACCCCTCAAACAACACCCCGACTGATCGATCAAATCTGGAACGTGCCAACCAGGTCCTGTCTGAAAAAAACCTGACCGACCGTCACCGTCACCGACCCAAAACACCACCAATTCAGCCACTCCAACCGTCACCGTCACCACGCGTCTTCCGTTCAAACACCGGTCTCAGGTCGAGGGGCGCATCTCGTGGATATGCCCGAAGAGGTGCGCCTGCCACCGCCGCGCCGCGCCCCGCGGACCCCGGCGGGAGCGGTTTCCAGGTGCCGAACCCAACGGAGGCCGATCGGGGGGCTCCTCGCGGCCGGGGGGGACATGTTGGCGAAGACATGGGTCCTGGCTGTGGTGGGTCCCTCTGGTGCCAAGTCACATGGATGTGAGTTGTGGCTGTTGGGTCGCTATAGCAGTCGAGTAAGCCTCCAACAAATCACCACCTGCCACTTTGAAGTCTAAAGCCAGCATTTCAGAGACCAGCGACGTCAGTCAGTGCTGGTCAGGCGCACTTCAACCTATACTGGATGGTGGCCGGTTCAGGAAGTATAATGCTTCATAGCTTGGATTTGCTTGATTGAACTGGTAAATCTTAAGAACATATTCCGAATGGAAGGGGCGTCACCCACTGAAAATACCTGAAAAATCGATGAACATACAAATCACCCTATAGTATAATACCAGGACAAACCTAGGTCTTTCATGGTCTTTCAAATAGGGGGACCGTGACCTCCCAGCAAAAAAGACTCAAAACCACTCACCCAACTTCCGCGCCCCGAAACCGGTACACCCCGCCTTGGGCTTGGTCTGTTGGATTCTCCCGAGCAATGCCTGCGGATCAACGGCACCCGGAGAGGTGGAAGAGGACTGGCCCTTCTTTGGGGGTACCTCTATGATACCTCTACGTCTTCTCAGGCTTCTTCAGCTCTTCTGGATGGTCTTCAGGGGGGGGAGATGAGGAAACTCACTGTGAAACACAGACTGACCTCTCAGAT